TTTTATTTTGCACCCTTTTAGTATACCCTTCTTTTTTGGGTATAACCGACCATAAATGACACGCGAGTTATATTATATCTATATTTGCAATCAATGTTATGTTATGGTTATATTGGTTCAATAATTTAAATAATGTTGTATATATAAAATATATTATATATATATTATATATATTATATTACTTTATATATATATAATATTTAATATTTGAAGAACTTTAACATCAAAAGGGTATACATAAGTCGAGCGCCCTTTTGGAGTCGGGCCGCCGCACAGTGGGCGATTTGGTCTCGCTAGCGGCATTTAATTAATAACTTCTAAACTAAAATAGATATCTTCAGTCGGTTTTTTTTCACCGATCAAAGAAAAATCATGCAATTTTTAAGTTAAAAAAAGTTTTTTTTTAATACTTTTTTATTTTTTTTTTTTTAATTTAAAAAAAATATTTTTTAATTTTAAATCTTGATTTATTTTTATGTTTTTTAAACTTCAATTAATGTATTCCATAAACAAACATAGTTTAAAAATGGCTAGAATTTTATTCAGAATCATCGGAATCAGACGGCGGCATAGTAAAAATACTAAAATATACTAAAAAAGATCCCTTTTTGCTACTGACATTGTGCCTTAAAAGTACCATAGTTTGAAGGCTAGCAGGTACTAGCAGTTCATATTACACACATTGGACGCCACTGATTCACACTTTCGGCTAATAAAAGAGTTAGACTGAATCCACTTGAATCAGGTAAGTTCTTCTCCACGAAAGACAGGTGTACGCTAATCCGGGCTCGTTGTTAATACACTGAATTGCGACTACGTTTTATGAGCTACACATTTATAGACCGGTCACAAACATTAATTTTTTTTGTAATGCATACCTTGAAATTAATAAAAAACCAAACTTTTAATAAATTCACTAAAAATTGTAAATTTCCGAGGAACTTGAATTCGATGCGCGCAAACAGGTAAAATTTTGTAAAGTTCTTTGCAAAATCATTTTCTGTGTTTGTCCGTTCACAGCTGATGATCAGCTCATCGTAGAGCTTTTAAAATGCTTGGATAAATCTAATCAAAGTATCTATTATCGAATTGTGAAAAAAATCATCGCTTTTTGAAAGTTGAAATTTGAATTAAATGCCGCTAGCGAGACCAAATCGCCCACTGTGCGCCGTCGGGTGGAAGCAACGAGATCGTATTCGAAGAGTGAGAAAGAGGGGGAAACTTAGGAATATCCCTTTTCCTTTCCTACACATTGGTTGCTTGTATGCCAAAAGACACCGGGTGACAGCCAGAACTGCAGGGTGTACAGTGAGTGAAACTTCATTACTGGTACATACACACATATATGTATAGTTCTCCTGTGTATGTATGTCCGATTAAAAAATTTATTTGTTTTTTCGATTTAAATGTATTTATTATAAAAAAAAATTTTTTAATTATTTGTATTTAAATTTAAACTAATTATAATAATTATTTTATGTAATTAGAGAATCTATATTTAAGTTATTAATATTAGAAAGAAGGAACATTATTTTGTTCACCATGTCTTCAGTGGTGGCAATTTTTTTTTTACCGTTTTTCGCCAATTAAATTTTTGGCAACAGAAAATTACTGCACTCATCTGCACAGTTGTTCACAGTCAACATACAAGCTGTACAGCGTGGGACAAATATAGTACTCCTTACGAAGAGTGCAACCATATACTGAACTCACTCGAAGTGAGTACACTAAAAATGTTGTGCTATCTTCTTCTGACCTATAGAGTATACTGTACAGTAAAGAATGAGTGCAGTGTTTTTGAAAACACTACACTACTGTACAGATCTGTTATGCCACAAATGAGTGCACTCATGCAGAAGTCTAGTACATATGTACGTATTTGGATTCTGATCGTGACGCTGATCAAGAATATATATACTTTATGGGGTCTGAGGTGTCTCCTTCACTGCGTTGCAAACTTCTGACTGAAATTATAATACCCTTTGCTCTGCAAGGGTATACAAATTCTTTTTGCAGTTACTATTATTTTTGTTTAAAGAAACTTTTGGATCCAAAAATTTTTCAAGACGACAAAAAAGTTTAAAAAGTAGATTTTCACAAAAAAATCGAACTTTTCAATAAATATCGAATGAGTTAAGAAAAGTATTGTATCATTCAAACGGCATTTAAATTACCTTTCCATTGATACAAAAAGTAAAACCGAAGCAAGTTCAAGTTTCGAGTATATTTCACTTTTATTTATATATATATATATTATATATATACTAGCAAATCCCGGCGAACTCCGTTTCGCCACCTGGTGGCAACGTACTCTTCTAGCAATCACTGTACTACGACCTATGTTCCAACAACGTCGTTGGACTGTGAAACGGCGTGGTTGTCGTTGTTCTAATCTTCTGACTTCATTGCGTTCAGCTCGTGTATCTTTTGGCTCTTCTCTGACTTCATTTCGTTCAGCTCGTGTATCTTCTGGCTATTCTTTGACTTCATTGCGTTCAGTTCGTGTATCTTCTGGCTCTTCTTGATGCAATTGCGCTATTCTTTCGGATCGTCTATTTTGCATGTATCAAGATCTACTTGTATCATGGCTCAAATCTCCCCCCTTTGCGTTTTCTTGGCATTGCTCACTGGAACAAAATTTCATGAGAATCGGTATAGCCGTTTCGGAGGAGTAAGGTCACAAAAACTGTGACACGAGAATTTTATATATTAGATATATATATACCCAAACCAGTGTTTAAAAAACTGCAGTCGAATTAGCAGAAGTCGCCAAATATAAGCTATTCGGTGCTTCGACTGTGTGCAACATTCTAAAACAAGCGATTGCTTCTGCTTTTGTAAAAATCAGAAGTCGCAGTCGAAGCATAGGCCAAAATCATGAAAGCAACGAAAAGCAAAAGTCATTAGCAGGCCCTGCTTCTCGTTTTTTTGCTACTGATTTGCTGTTGCTTTTAATCGTAGCCGAAAGTCGTTGCTGTTGCAGGTGTCGGCTTTCGGAAGTCGTCAGCAGTTGAGGCCTCAAAAAAGAGGCATCCGACTTATTGTTGCTTTTGATTTTGACGCTGCTGCTTTCAACTGCTCGACTTCTGCAAGTCGCTAGCGACTGCTGTCGTTTGAAATTTTTTGATTTTGCTTTGCTGCTGCTTTCGATTCTGCAAGTCGAAACTATCATACTGTCGCGTCTGAATTTTTATGCGTATACTGTTTGATTCTTGATTCTTGTGCATCAGTGTCAATTGAAGCAAGATAGGAACAGGAGCTTAATTGTTTAACTATGGCGTAAAGTGATATTTGGATGTTTTTCCAGAATAATGTTGATGAAGGCATAGCTACATATAAAACATGTAAAAATAAACTAAAAAATAATAGACTTTCAAATTTAAAAACTCATTAACTTAATTTACACAAAATAAAATTAAATGCTGGAAGTGTTGAACTGTTAGAATCGTCGTCGTCATCTTCCTCCATAAAATTAAAAAAAAAAAACTATTAGAAAAAAAAATAAAAATTGAAGTGAATAAAAAACAACTGCTGAGGTCATATATTGGATTGGTGACAGAAGACAGCATTCCTTTCAATGTCCTAAATTCGGAAAATATGCGAAATATTGTTGACCCAATTTGTGATGGATTTAAAGCCGCTGACGGAAAAAAATTACGTTAAATGCATCCAACTGCAAAAAAAAAACTTTGCAAACCGTGGCAAACAACATAAAAGGACATATAACCACCAAAATGGCAAATAAATTATTGTGTCTAAAAATAGACAGTGCCACGCGGCTGGCAAGAAACATTTTTGGCATAAGTGCTCAATATATAAGTTCAGCTCAAATAAAATCCCTTATATTATTGGGCATGGTAGAGCTTAAAGGTGTTGGATCGAGCACAGCCAAAAATCTCGCCGCTGAAGTGCTAAAAGTCCTAAATAAATATAATATAAACTTAAGTGTCAATAACATCTGACAATGGTGCCAACATGCTTAAGACAACAAATATATTCAGGGTTGCCAAATCGGTTTTTAAAAAAGGCGTAGGTCAGATAAAGAAAGTTATGTAGAAATGTGAAATTGCCATATAAAAAATACGTAGATCTACGTACTTGTTTTTCTGAGGGAAATTAAGAGAGTAGGTAAAAGTAAATAAAATGACAATTTATATTACCCTAAAAGTAGTAGACAGCAAACAAACAACAAATTTAAAAATAAAAAAAATCTATGAATTATAGATCTACCAGAATCTCATGGCAAATAAGCCAAACTTTACATGCAAATATAAAATCATCTATTTATTTATTACCAGTAAATGATCTGTTTATATAGATATTTATATATTGGCACATAGAGTATGAAATAAATAAGGCTAAATAATGAATGGATTTGAATATATTTGTGTTTGGCTTATTTGCCACGAGATTCTGGTAAACCTATACCACCTGTAGTTAATTTAAACAAGTTAAACAAGAGGCTAGGGGTGTCCGTTAGTATGAAACGGAACGTTTATTAATTTTTTTTTCGCGAAAATAAAGGTAATTATGCCCATTCAGTCTATTTTGCAAATTTGAACAATTTTGATAGAAAATACGTAGATTCTGGGACTTAAGTTCCTAGGTTTGCAAGAAAGGCTTAAAGTACGCAGATCTACGTAAAAAGACGTAGAGTTGGTGTTGAGGAACCTCACTACTAATTACAATAATCTGGTATATTTTATAGCATGTAAGATATTCTTTCTTGAGATGGTCTGGTCTGTCTTTAATCTCTCTCTCTTCCTCCTGACCACGAGCGGTCAACATGAAATAAAGCGTAAATTCTTATTGTGAAATAATTGAGCATTATTCTATCAACCAATTTGAAAATGGTCTTACAAACCATTTAGCGTGATCTATTCACCACCATTGTCTGGTCTTACAAACCATCAGCGTGATCTATTCACCAACATTGTCTGGTCCTTCGAGAGCCGGAATACTTCCGCATCTACAAACTGTTTTGAGTATATCTACACACCATGGAGCAACAGACGCTTAAACGCCTTATCCAAGCACGTGGTCGGCTAAAGGCTACCATAACTCGCTTGGTCAATTACATTGAGAATCCACCTCCACAGAGCACTTACTCCGGAGTCGATGCCATGCTGGCACGGCTAAATCAAGCCTTCAGAAGCCTTGAGGAGATCACTGACGAAATGCACCTGTACGATAACGTTGAAGGTTTCGAGGATCCTACCGAAGATTTCCAATCGTATGAGGAGAAGTACCTGCGCGCGCTTACCTTATTCGCGTCGTTAAAGAGCGAACTTCAGCCAAGCGCCATACCTCAAGCGGATCACAACATGGCCACATTGCTGCAACAGCAAAGTGAGTTCTTGCAGCGACTTGCTGAGAACGGAGCATCTACCTTGGCCACGCCGCCGCCTGCTGCAGTTTGTTTAAATGAAAACCCGTTGCCGAAAATCCACATCAAACCCTTTGGTGGAGACTACAAGGAATGGCCAGCCTTCAAGGACATTTACGAGAGCACCGTCCACAATAAGACCCACCTGGGAAAGATTCAGAAGTTTCACTACCTTAAGTCTTTCATAGTTGGTGAAGCGGGCAATCTTCTCAGTCACATGTCCATTACGGAATCAGCTTATGATTCAGCATGGGAACGCCTCAATGATCGCTATGATCGCCCAAGACATATCGTGAACTCCTTACTGGACACTTTCATGGCACTGGCTGCTGCCCCCAACGGCGAGGTGTCTAATCTACGCAAACTTTCTGATGGCGCCAATGAAATCATTCGTGGGCTAGATGCAGTTGGGGAGACAAGCCGTGATTGCTGGGTGATTCATCTTGTACTGGCTAAAATTGTTCCCGACTCTAGAAGGAAGTGGATAGAGGACACCAGAGGCTCTGCGACACCAACCGTTGCAGACTTGTTTAGATTCCTTGATGACCGTTGCGAGGATTTTGAATTAAGCCAAGCTACATCGGCAATCAAACTCGATCCTGGCAGTCACACGGACAAGCCTGCCAAAGCGAAGCGCGCACTTATTGCAGTGAACCGTGGCAATTGTAGTAAGTGTGGCTCTGCTGACCATCAGCTGTATAGATGCTCTCAATTCCAAAATCTGAACACCGAACATCGGCGCTCCTTTGTGAAAGGAAAGTCGCTTTGCTTCAATTGCCTACGCCCTGGCCACCGATCTTCACAATGTCAATCGAAACATTCGTGCAAGCACTGCAAAGGCCGTCATCATTCTCTTGTACATCCTGAAAACATGGATTCCGTGACAGTTGCTCCTGCGGACACTGCACAGGCCAGTCCTCAAACTTCTGGATGTAGCTCAACTTTGGTCGCCCAGACGCAAAACAGCAACTCATTAACACAGTCACCGGGACTCAAAAGAAGCACATTGCCCACAGCTTTGGTGTATGTCCAAAACTCAAAAGGGACTTACACAATTTGTCGTGTGCTTTTGGATAGCGGCTCTGAGCTATCCTACGTTTCTGAACGATGTATCAACGCACTTGGGCTCGCTCGTTCACCCTCAAGAATTCTAGTTTCCGGAATATCTTCCGTCAAGGCCGAAACTACTAGAGGATTGGCAACGCTGCATATCAAGTCAATGGTGTCACTTCACACGATTGTTGTCGCAGCCCATGTGCTGGGCAAAATCACATCAACACTTCAACGGGACGACATTGACGAAACAGCTTTAAGGATCTACGATGGACTCCAGTTAGCCGATACTTCGTTTAACACATCTTCACCCGTAGACATTTTACTGGGAAATGAACAAATTTGGTCCGTTTTGTCAGGCGATAAAAAATATGACACCGATGGAAATATTATTGCCATCAGCTCTATCTTTGGATGGATAATCACTTCAGTTGCAATGCCGCAACCATTAACCGCCAACACGCTCATGACTACTGTTGACATTAATGCCTCTCTTCAACGCTTTTGGGAGATCGAGGATAACACTGAGCATACACAACGAGACCCTGCGCACGAAAAGGTAGAGCAGCATTTTCTGACCACACATTCCCGAGACCCAGACGGCAAATACATCGTTGAATTGCCTTTTAAACACGAATGCCAAGAGTTCGGAGACACCCTGCAGGGCGCTGTCTCACGCTTCTATGCTGTGGAACGTCGTCTGCAGCGTGATATGGAGCTACGCAAGCTATATTCAAAATTTATGAGCGAGTATCTAAGCCTAGGTCATATGCGTAAGCTGCCCCCTGAAGAATGCAACACATCAGCAAAAACGTTTTATATGCCACACCACCCAGTTCTAGGAAAGAAGCTGCGCGTGGTATTTGACGGGTCATATGAAGACGTAAACGGACACGCTCTAAATGACGCCTTACACATCGGACCCAGCATACAACGCAACCTTTTTCATGTATGCCTTCGCTTTCGAATGCACAAGTTTGTGTTTTCGGCGGACATAGTTAAAATGTTTCGCCAGATCTGGGTTGCCCCTAAGCACCGCAACTTTCAACGCATCGTATGGAGAGAGGCTCCGAAAGATCCTCTTCAACACTTTCAACTCTGCACAGTCACCTATGGAACAAGCTGTGCACCGTTTCTTGCTGTCAGAGTACTGGAACAACTAGCGCGAGACCACCAGGATGAGTTTCCCACAGCCTCAAAAATTGTGCTTGAGGACTTTTACGTAGACGATGTCCTCACCGGCGCTGAAACTGAAGACGAATTACTTAGCCGCCGCGACGAACTCATCCAGCTGATGTCCAGGGCTAAGCTTGAGCTTGGCAAATGGGTGTCTAACAGTAGCGTCATCCGCCACATCCGGCAAGACGAGCTCCAAATAACCAGTGCGGTTAAAGTTTTAGGAATGCTATGGAATCCCCAAGACGACGTCCTGTCCTACAAAGCTTCGCTTTCTACGGAGCCAGATGCTACTAAACGGCAAGTATTGTCAGATGTCTCACGAATTTTCGATCCTCTAGGTATTCTGGCGCCTGTGGTAGTACAGTTCAAAATCCTTTTCCAAGAACTCTGGCTACTTGACCTGGACTGGGATTCAAAACTCCCACCGAAACTGGCTGAGTGGTGGCAAACCTGTCGCGACGATATCAACTACATAACCAACCTAAGGATTCCACGATATGTACACAGCGAACCGGGAAAAATCGAATTACATGGATTTTCAGATGCATCTATAAAGGCATATGCCGCTGTCGTTTACAGCCGCGTAAGCAACGCAGACGGCACCTGCTTGGTGTCACTTATGGCAGCTAAAACACGCGTTGCGCCACTAAAGCAACAAAGTCTTCCTCGGCTGGAACTCTGTGGCGAGCTATTGCTCACTCGCCTTCTCCGAGCTGTTAAAGAAGGCTTGCATCACAAGGATATAGTTGTACATGCTTGGTGCGATTCCACGATTGTCCTTTCGTGGCTGTCGCACACCCCATCGAAGCTGAAGACCTTTATTGCCAACCGTACTTCGGAGATCCTAGATGTCATACCACGCAGCGCATGGCATCACGTTGGCTCAAAGGATAACCCTGCCGATTGCGCATCGAGGGGAATGCTAGCAGCCAATCTCATGAGCTATGAGCTGTGGTGGAAGGGACCACATTGGCTACACCTCAACGATCTGCTTGCTTCAAAGCTGCGTAGTGGCAACAATCTCACAACAATTTTGGACACGCCCATAATGGATGAGCTGAAATCCTCTTCACTATCCAGCCGTGTTGAATCTGAACCTGAAGCGTCCCCGATTGAGTGTCTATCGTTTCGAGTTTCTTCCTGGACCAAGCTGATTCGCTGCACTGCTTATGTTTTACGGTTTATGCATCGAGGAATGAAGAAACGGATTCCGTCAAGCCTCACACTCACGTTTGAGGGAAATCAGCGAGGCCCGCATTTATTGTCTAAGGCAGGCTCAAGGAAGCTTCTCATCCGATCTACACCTGTTGCAAAGGGGAAAAGCTGTGGCAAATTCGTCAACACTTCGAACACTGTCACCCATGGTTTGCAAGAATGGCCTGCTTCGCGTAGGTGGGCGCCTCTCAAACTCGCTACTACCGGAGGAAATCAAGCATCCAATTATTCTGCCGAAACATCATCGCATTTCTCTGCTTATTTTGGAACACGAGCACAGGATACATCTTCATCCAGGTGTGACAGCACTTTTCGTCATCGTTCGCCAACAATATTGGATAGTTGGCGCACGCAACATGATTCGTAAGCTTACACATGCTTGTCTCAAATGTTTTCGCCAACGCCACAAAACAACTGATCAATACATGGCGGACTTGCCAGCTGTTCGGGTACGTCAAGCATACCCATTTGAAAATACTGGGTGCGATTATGCCGGACCGCTTCTACTCAAGGTGCACAAGGGACGGAATCCACGAAAGGAAAAGGGATACATTTGTCTATTCGTCTGCCTAGTAACCTCTGCAATTCACTTAGAGCTGGCTACAGATCTCTCCACGGATACATTTCTTGCTGCACTTCGTCGTTTCACCTCCCGTCGAGGCAAGTGTACCCACATCTTCAGCGACAACGGTCGCAACTTTGTGGGAGCAAAGAAGGTGTTAGACGAAATGTATAAGCTCATCCTATCACAGCAGCATAACACTCAAGTAACTCAAGCGTTGGCTAGCGAGGGTATCAAATGGAGTTTTATACCACCGCACGCACCCCACTGGGGCGGAAAATGGGAATCAGCTGTTCGCTCCGTAAAGCTGCATCTGCGTCGTGTCATCGGGAATTCCATCCTCACATTTGAGCAAATGCACACCCTTCTGGCTCAAATTGAATCCGTCGTCAATTCACGCCCACTCTTCGCTACGTCAGACATCGAGGTTTCCTACTTATCACCCGCACACCTGCTGATTGGACGCCCTTATACATCACTTCCAGAGGGCGATCTTGGCCACATAGCAGTTAACCGACTGGATTACTGGCAAAATGTACAGGCAATGCTACAAGGCTTTTGGAAGAGATGGCATCAGGAGTACCTCACTACACTTCAACAGCGCCCTAAGTGGAATACGGAGAGGAAGAACATTGCTCCTGGGGATATGGCGATCATTAAGGATTCAAACACACCCCCCGCCGCTTGGACTTTAGCGCGCATAATTGAAGTCTACCCAGGCAAGGACGGGCTGGTACGGGCCGTAAAGCTGCGAACTTCATCAGGAGAACTTGTTAGACCCATTTCTAAAATTGCCATCCTGCCTAATTCAGAAACTTAGTTTCAGGGTGGGCCGGGATGTTGAGGAACCTCACTACTAATTACAATAATCTGGTATATTTTATAGCATGTAAGATATTCTTTCTTGAGATGGTCTGGTCTGTCTTTAATCTCTCTCTCTTCCTCCTGACCACGAGCTGTCAACATGAAATAAAGCGTAAATTCTTATTGTGAAATAATTGAGCATTATTCTATCAACCAATTTGAAAATGGTCTTACAAACCATTTAGCGTGATCTATTCACCACCATTGTCTGGTCTTACAAACCATCAGCGTGATCTATTCACCAACAGTTGGCAACCATGAATATATTATCATTTGTTTTCGATGAAAATCTTGGCGATGACGACGAATATTGTTCAAACGATGAATATTTAAAATTAATTGAAAATATAGAAAAAGTGCCAAATGTGTTAATCGGGAATATTCAAGTTTGTCGTTGTGCTGCACATACGGCTCAACTGGTTGCTCTCGATGTTACCAAATCGTCGGATATGTTGAAATACCGTCGGATATGTTGAAATACCTTTGTATCATGTTGTCGCAACATGACAAAATTTATAAGAAAAACTTCAAATGGATTTCGAGAAATATTCGAACTGAAACAGCTAAAAATGCCGCAACTAGATTGTTCGACCAGATGGGGATCCACCTTCACGATGCTAAAGGATTTGTTAGTGGCTAAAGATGAATTATCTGAAATTGAGTCAACTGAAAATAAAAACGAAGAAGAAAATTTTGAAGTGGATGCATCGTTGTGGGATTTTATTGAAAACTATTGCTTAGTTTTCAGTCCATTGCAGAAAACATTAAAAAAATTCCAAGAAGAGCAACTGCATTATGGAAATTTTTGCGCCCAATGGCTAAAATTAAAAATATGCACAGAAAAAATTGTAAATGATGCAACTCACGATATGACAAGAACGATTGGCGAAAAGATTCTGAGTTTTATAGAAAGGCGATCGAAAATATTATTAAAGAATAAATTTCTCATTTCGTGTTTGTTTTTGGATCCTCGTTTCCAACATACACTAACACCACAACAGAAAAATGATGCATTGAACCATTTAAAATCGATATGGGACAGACTAAATGATATAAATTCTACTGGACAGTTATGCTCAACACCAAATTCGGACACACATCAATCAGTGAACCATTTTTTTGATGAAGAAGATGAATTGCTAAACGCTTACTTAGAGCAAGGGATCCAAACGGAAGTCAGCAGTACATTCGACGTCTACTCAAAGATTGACAATCTTCAACTTCCTTTCCAAAGAATCGATGCAGATGTTCTCAAATTTTGGAAAAGAAAGCAGTACACTGACCAGGAGCTGTATGCACTAAGTAATGTTTGCTTTGCTGTACCACCAACTCAGGTACCTATATATATACAAAAGTTATAATAAATTAATGTTCACAGTTTTATAAATTTAAATGTTTTCTAACAGGTGACGATTGAACGAGCATTTTCGACGTTACGACTTGTACTTACAGATTATCGAAATCGACTAAGTCAGGAAAATATTCTGCTGGTCAAATTGAATCCAAGCTTTCTGGACTCAGCAATTGAAAACTTATCTCTCTTTGAAGATGACGAAGAGATTGTATTTTATGAAAAAAATGAATAAAAAAAAACAAATTGTGAAAATTTAATTATTAAACGTGTATGTTCATATATTAACAAAGAATACATTATAATTTTAAATTATTCTTCTTCTAATCGAAAGGAAAATCAAAAATTTTCAAACGACAGCAGTCGCTAGCGACTTGCAGAAGTCGAGCAGTTGAAAGCAGCAGCGTCAAAATCAAAAGCAACAATAAGTCGGATGCCTCGTTTTTTGAGGCCCCAACTGCTGACGACTTCCGAAAGCCGACACCTGCAACAGCATCGACTACGATTAAAAGCAACAGAAAATCAGTAGCAAAAAAACGAGAAGCGGGGCCTGCTAACGACTTTTGCTTTTCGTGGCTTTCATGATTTTGGCCTATGCTTCGACTGCGACTTCTGATTTTTACAAAAGCAGAAGCAGAAGAAAAATCATATAAAATGACGGCAGTTTTTCAAACACTGACCCAAACTACCACAAAGTTCAGGAAGCAAAATTACAATTGAGGCCTGTGGGAATAACAGTGACAGAAACAGTTGCAGAAGTTGCTTTACAAGATTTAATAAATCATACTGCTAGCCGTATTTTATTATTACAGGAAAAAATATTCGTTAATTTAGAAAGTCTGTCCAGCGTTAAATTAATTGCGAATTACGGTTTTGATGGATCGTCTGGACAAGGTGTGTATAAGAAAAGATTTGAAAGTAACGAAACAGACACTTCAAATCAGTCTTTATTTGTTACAACCGTCATACCCTTGAAGCTTGTTGATGGAAAATGAAAAATTTTTTGGAATAATGGATCCCCGCAATCTGTAAGATTTTGTCGCCCTCTCAAAATGGAATTCGCCAAGGAAACAATCGATCACATTTTTAAGGAAAAAAAACTATTTGGATGGACAAATACAAAATTTGACTCCTTGTGAAATAACGATTTTAGATGAAAAAAATCACCGTCTCGTATGAGTTGTACATGACACTTATAGACGGGGAAGTTTTAAACGTTGTGACGGGAACTAACTCCTGTCAATTACACTGTGCGACAAAATTTAACAAAATCTTTGTTTAAGTTACTTTTATGATTATTTTCGGTTAAGGTGCATAAATTATGCACAAAAATATCTATGCCACCTTTTAAGTGATACGATTTCTTTTTGCATGGTAAATTTTATGAAATTATTTTTATGAAAATAATTAACACAAAATATTATTTTATTTTTTACTTTCAATAAACTATAATTTTTTTAAAAGTGAATTTTTTTCCTGATTTTTTTTGGCTTTTTCAGAGGTATCCTCGCGTAACAAGTCCCATACGTAGTCGCCCAGAGTATAGAGCTGGGAGAAAACAATTTTAAAGCATTGTGATAAAAGCCTAACGGTATATTTGCTCAGCGTTTAAAAAGCTACACTGCTCCCGTAGTATTTCGTTTTGCTATTGCTACCGCTCTCACTTTGACGAGAGCCGTAGCAGAGCCATAGCCGAACAACGAAAAATTGCCTGCTCTGCTCTGCTCGGAGTTTCATCGAGACCGAACTATAGCTATAGCAAATAGCAAAGAAAAAAATTTTTTGTGCTACGGCTACGCATAGCGAGAGTAGAAAAGTTATAGCGAGATGAAAGCAGAGCAAACGATTTTCTCCACTTGCTACGGCTCTCGACCAAATTTGTTATTGTTTTGGCTATTTTCTTTTTCCTTCTTATGCACCTTTACATTATTCTCGTCGCTTTTTAGACATAATTCCTTTATTATTGAAATAAAAAAAGAAAATAGCCAAAACAATAACAAATTTGGTCGAGAGCCGTAGCAAGTGGAGAAAATCGTTTGCTCTGCTTTCATCTCGCTATAACTTTTCTACTCTCGCTATGCGTAGCCGTAGCACAAAAAATTTTTCTTTGCTATTTGCTATAGCTATAGTTCGGACTCGATGAAACTCCGAGCAGAGCAGAGCAGGCAATTTTTCGTTGTTCGGCTATGGCTCTGCTACGGCTCTCGTCAAAGTCAGAGCGGTAGCAATAGCATAGCGATATATATATGAATCTCGCTGCTACGGAGTAGTAATTGCAAACCCTGTATTTGCTTAATACATTTTAATTAATAGATATTGAACTTGCATGAACGCTTATAACAGTGAAAAAATATTTTCGCAATATGTGATTATAAGGCTGTGAAATATGCAAAAACGCGCGTTTTTGGGACATTTGAGTGTGCGTAAAAGGCGATTGGCTATTGATATTAACAAATCCACAAACTTATATTCTTATTTTGATTAGTAGAAGATAAAAATAAGAAAAAATCATCTTAAACATTTTTTTGTCGCACAGTGTTATGTTCGATCTGTGGTGCAGGCCCAAAACAATTTATGAATTCAGTTGATGTAAAATCTTTCCCGCCGAAACCTGGACACCTTCAGTATGGGATAAGTCTACTACATGCGTGGATACGTGTTTTTGAATTACTTCTTAAAATATCCTATAGAATGCAGTTTGAAAAATGGCAAGCAAGAAACGATAGTGACAATCTCGTTATGCTTTCTAAAAAGAAAATGTGCCAAAGAGAATGTGGCAAGAAATGGGATTGCATGTAGATAAACCGAAACAGAATGGAAGCGGAAACACAAACTATGGCAATACAGCCAGAAAGGCTTTTTCTAATACAAACTTATTCGCATCAATTTTAGATGTGGACTTGGAATTAATTAACAGTCTGCATACTATTCTAATAGCTATTAACTGTGAATTTGCAATCGATCCTCAAAAATTTAAAAAATTCTCAGAAAAAACCATTCAGCTATACAAGTTTAATCCGGTGTCACCAACTTTACACAAAATTTTAATTCATGGATCCCAAATAATAGCAGAATCAGTAGTGCCAGTAGGCTGTCTTGGAGAAAACGCGTCAGAAGCGCGAAATAAAATCTACAAGCGTGATAGGCGAATGCATGCTCGACAGAACTCTCGAATAAATAATATCATGGATGTCTTCCCCAGATCTATGGACTCATCAGATACCTTTATCTCAAGTATTTCAATTAAAAAAGGGCAGCTCGACATAAAAAACAACCCCTTCCGCAAAACATAATTGAACTCTTTGCAGCACCCCAAAATTATATTTCTAGTATTACAGAATCTTTTCCTAACAACAGCAGTTTTAATGATATTTCAGATGACTCGGAAGACTCGGATTCAAATGAAATAAATCCATTTTCATTTGAATTAGCTGTAGAGAACGATTGGAAACATTTCATTTCAGTTTTTTTTTTGTTTTTGCCAAATAACAATTTTATATATATCCTTTTATTCCTATTTAAGCAAAAATGAAATCCATTATTATTATAGATAATAAAAATCAGTATTATATGTAAGAAAATAATTAACATAGGTATAAAAAAAA